TACTGTTTTTTTCTGACCGATAGAAATCCATGTTCCTCTGAATGCCCATAGCATCAAGTGTCAATATAATTGCAGTAAGTGAACGGCAGGCTATAGAACTTTACGAGCAAATCGTTGTTGACGAAAAAAGGGATGTGAAAGGAGCTGGGCATCCTTGCTCCTGGTTGACAGATTCTGAGGTGGTTTCGTCAACCGAAGTGGAACAGCATGGGAGAAGCTAAAGCTTGGCAGCAAAGCAACATCACTTCGGACTTGAGGAGACTAGGCGTGATGAACAAGTAGCTTTAACTGCCTTCGCCTTCCAAAACGTCTAGAATGCGTGCTAGAGTGCAACCACACTGTATTGGGAATTCACCTAGCATGTAGGGCGTAGCGAACTGGGTAAGAAGGAGCAAGTAGCTGAGATGATTGAGTAAACATTGAGATATTAGAGGGAAAACGTCCCACTCTGTCCCACCTCAGAGGGTTTTGTTTCAACCGAAGGGGTACGCACCAAAGAAACTAGATCTCCTCCGATAGAGGAGAAATAGTTCAAGTTCAGGACCACCTTCTAGTAGTTCAACTCGGCTAAATCAATGAGTTAGGAGATGAGACCAATTTCGCTACAGACACTGACAAAACGTTCACTAATTGGTAAGTAATCGGGAATGGGGTGCATCATCAATGTTGCGGCTTGTAGATGGAAATGCTTGGAAATGAGCAAGTTTATGTGTTGCTATTTTCTTAGGGATTTATCTCTTCATAGAAATGCCCAATCTAATGTGGCAGCTTTAGAATAAAGTAATTCATCGAAATTCAGCGAATATGCAAATACTATATTTTGGTGAGTCAGCAAACGCATGGGTTCCCTAGTGTGTAAACAACATAAATACTAACTTAACATACCGGGCACGCTCAAATCACTTAGCGTACGGCCCTTGAAGGCGCAGTTCACGATGATTTTGCGGTATCTGTTTTTTGACAAATAATTGATGTAACAGTTCAGAACAATGGAAATAGGTAGAGAAAGCGCAAAAAATACGCGAACTTGGGGAAATTCAAGGCTTCAGAAAACTAGCAAAATCAGGTGTAGGACGAGAATGTGCCAATAGAATTTTCATGATAGGGATAATTGGACTAGCTGTCTTATTTCGTGCATCATTGCATGAAATTGGACAACTCGTCCAAGTACCCCATCCATGAAGACAGGGAAGAATTCTCAGAGACCGTACTTATCGTGAACTTTATTTATTCATTCATTTGAGTCTTCCCTCGGGCATACTCGTGGCATAAAAAGGCATAAAAAGAAAAAAAAGTTTTCCTTTTTATGCCCTTAAAAAGATCAAGACAACGTCTTTTGAAGTTTAATATTGCTTTTTATTGGAAGCGCCTAATAGTTAACGATGAATGGCTGCTTTCATAGTCTGCCGGCTGGCGTGCCGGCGAGCCGGCGGCCGGCCGAGGCAGTACTAGGAGGGAGCAGGGAGGCAGACGGTCGGTCAAAGGGCTGAAAACAAAGAAGAATAAGATCAAAAACCAAACAACCAGGGGCTTGTACAAATGGTTTTTGAACTTGTCTCTCTTTGTTTACAGCCCTTCGAAGGAGCTGACCGGCCGTCTGCCTCCCTCCTCCCCCCC